CCTGGAGTTCCTTTTTGTCATTTCTATTTCAGTTCTAAATGCCTTCTCTATTTAAATGTCCACATCTTTTCCCTGTACATAGCAGGAAATTTCTTCTACAATTTCATAAAATAGGTCTTCCATGCTTTCAGTTTGTATTTCAACTTCTCATTTACCCATCGATTCTTAGGTTTCATGTCTTAATCATGTACCAGAATTCTTGAGTTGTATTCATGGTTGCTGTTTTTATTTGCCAGTGTTCTTTATTGCTAAATGAATGTGTTTAATATCCTTTACTTGGTCTAATCTATTGGTAATATTTTCCACGGAAATTTTCAGGTTTGTTTGGGTTTTTTTTACATTTTTTGGGGTGAATGTGGTGGGGTAGGTGTGCACACACATTCATGCCAGAGCATAGGTGTAGAGTTCAGAGGAAAATTTGTGGGAGTCAGTCATCCCCTCCACATGTAGGTTCTAGGAATAGAACTCAAGTGACAAGTGCCTTTACCTGCTGAGCCATCTCGCTGGCCCTCTGCCAACTACAAAGTTTTAGTTGATTTGTAGAGAAATTCATTTTTAAGAATTTTGTTTGGTTATTATTGCTCTTTTTATTGATTTATTTATTTAAATTTATATTTTAGAATTTCTGTGTCTCTGCTGTATTTCTCATCCATGTCTTGCATTAACTTCCTTTCTTCATTTATTAGAATCCTCATTTAGACAATGCTCATTTTTAAAAATGTTTCTTTGTCTGACAGCTGAATAATTTCACTACCCTTTGACTGATTATTTAAAAGTTATACACTTTAGGAGAAGCCATGTATTCTGTGTGTTTCTAACTTATAAATATATATACTTTTATACAGGTGTTTTCTTAGCGGTCAGCCTTCTCTTAGGATCTTAATCCCCACTACAAATTAGAGGGGAAAAGATGCAGACAGCACTAATAGTAAGAGTTTGAAAACAAACTAGATACTTAAACGCAGAATAAAAACTGGAGCAGGGAGACTGGGGCAGAAGGATGACAGGATAGAAAGGGATGGATTAAGATCAACCAAAACTAATGATATTATTTTTAAAGTGGTAAGGAAACCATATAATAGGAAAGCTAATTAAAAATTAAACCAAAACAACAACAACAACAACCAAAAAACAGCGGTGCCTTATGGGAGAGGATAAAGCTGCCATAGGTTATTAATAAAAATACCAGTGCCAGGCGTGAGCTCCCTTCCTGAGTTGTTGGTCAGCAAGGCCGCTAAGGTCCCCCAAACAATACAATGATTGCTACTGCTGTTGGTTACCCAGCAGAACTGGATGGTAAGACCCAATTGCCTAAGTTACGGGATGCTCTGGCTGCATGACTCAGAGAAATCAAGTTGGAACTAGGTTGGAAGCTTCCTCCTGACAGCCAACCCTCATAGTGCCAGAAGGTGCTCGGCAGACTGCCAAGGGAGCACTGTCTTAGGTGTTGTGTGCTATGATACTGAGCGGCCAGACAAGGTGAGCCCTCACTGTGACACATCTATTCTGGGAGTAACCAACCACCTGCTGACTGGAATTGAGGCCTACTCCACAGAAGGGAACTCTTGTCTGGTACTGCTCAAAAGTCTGTGGCTGGAGAGGTCACAGGCCCTTGGCAGGAAGCTATAGCTGCTGTTTTCCTAAGTGCACATGCTATGACCATCATGTGACCTTCCTATGCCCACAGACTAGTGGTGATGTCACCTTGGTCAGAGGAGCTTCCTTTTCAGGTGAGGGTGATTGCAGAGACTCTTAACTGATCAAAGTGCTGATGATAAGTGATGGTTTAATGCTCAATCACAAATGGGACGTCTGTAACAGCTGCTCCAAGGCTTAGAGAACACTGCAAAATAAGGGATTAAAAGGAATGTGTGAAACGGAGGAAGAAGGGGCACAGAGTGGAATGCTGAATTCTAGGTCACACATGGAAATCCTCTTCCATCTACAAGACTAACCCAAATAATATTAAGGTTAAATATATTTTCCTTGATTGGCCTGAAAAGGTAGAATGTTCTAATGCCCAAGGCCCCTATCACCCTAAAAGAAGAGTAATCTGGTGGGGAGGGGTGTTAATGTGCAAATGCATGTGTTAAGATCAGAAATCAATGCTGAGTGTTTTCCTCAATCATGTTCTGTGTTTTATCTAATTTTTTTTTCTTTTAGAAAGAGTCACACAGGACCCAAAGCATACCAGTTCTGCTAGCCAGCAAGACACAAGGATCGTGTCTCCACTCCCCTCTCCAGTGCTGGCATTACAAGTGTATAGCATCATGCTCATCTATTCTCTTTTCCTCATGTCTTATCAGTTCTAAGAATTTTATGCAATTAACCTCCCTCTCTCAACTCCTCCAAGATCTACTCCTCTTCATTACTCACTTAACACTGTCATTTAAAAAAAATTCCACTGAGTCCAATTTCTACAGCCCATATATTCTTGAATGCACTGGAGTGTGGCTGACCTGCAAGGAAATTGAATTTCCATCTCCTAGAAGCTACCAATTGCTAAGAGCTCTTCAGCTAGAAGAAAGACTTCATCCCCATCTCCCGTCTCTGCTGGGACTTGGTCTGGCTTCAGCTTCCACAAGCATACTTTCATAAGCACTGCAAGTTCATGCTATATCTAGAAAACACTATCATCCACCATCTCTGGCTCTTACAATCTTTCTGCCCCCTCTTCTGCAACGAACCCTGAGCCTTGAAAGGAGGGTATGTGAGACAGATGTGTCATTTAGGGGTGAGCATTCTGCAATCTCATATTTTCTGCACCTTGACCAGTTGTGGTCCTCTGTGTTCATCATGAACTTCTGGAAAAGGCAGTTTTCCTGATAACATTTAAGAGCTACACTAATCTATGGGTATAATGTAAGTCTTTAGGAGTAAGTTTAATGCTATGCACATTCAGTATAGTAATAGGAGTAGGTTCGCCCCAAAGGCTTTTCTAGCCAAGATTCTTGGCCTCAATAATGTTGCCAGGTATGAATTTCCTTGTGTGGAATGGAGTTTAAATCCAATCAGAAAATGGTTAGTTATTCCATTGATGTTCAAGCCACTATTACACCAGTGGGCATATCTTGCCAGGCCAGTGTTACTGTAGCTCACACATTCACAGCTGGATAAAACTAATGATTACTTTTCCCTTCCAGTAGTATGCATACATCTCCTGGCACTATGAAAGCTAGGCAGTAGAGACAGAGCTTCCAGGTCAGTGCCAGCTTGGTTTCTCCATCTTCTATGATTCAAGTGCGTGGCGTCTTCAGCAATAGGGTTTCCTCATCAAATTCTGGAGCGTAACCAAGAGCACTGGCAACAGCATATAATATCTGGAGGTCTCTGAGATCTCCCTGGCCAACAACTCCAAAAGTGGTAACCCATTCCTGGCACTGGACTTGTTATCCTCTGTTGTCCAGTAAGTAGACTTTATTATGATGAGATATGTCCCCTGTACCCCTAGATTCTTCAGGACATGTACCACAAAGGGATTTTTGGATTTTGTCAAAAGGCTTTTTATTCATGTAATGAGATGATTGTGTGGTTCCTGTCATTGTGTCTATTTATGTAGTGAATTATACTTATTGATTTATGTATGTTGGATTATCCCTACATTTCTGGGATAAAGCTCACTTCACCTTGGTGAATGTATAGAAATATAACTTCCTATCTTTCTCCCCTTCCCATTTCCCTCATCCATCAGCTGTCAAGATCTCCAGCTTACCTGCTCTATTGTTTTCTCTCTCGAACCCTAATGAATTGTCTCTGGGCTCCCACTGAGTTTATTTTAAATTATTTTATAAAAAAATTCGAGAATTTAGAAAGAGTATTGCCTGCAGTGACAACAGGAAACTAGAGATCCTGCATACCTAGACCAGTGGTCCTCAACCTTCCTAATGCTGTGACCCTTTAATACAATTCCTCATGTTGTGCTGACCCCAACCATAAAGTCATTTTCATTGTTACTTGATAATTGTAATTTTGCTGCAGTTATGAATCATGATGTAAATATCTGTATTTTCCGATGGTCTTAGGCAACCCCTGTGAAAGGGTCATTCAATACTTCCCAATGAGGTCATGACCCACAGGTTGAAAACAGCTGCCCTAGACACACCAGTTTTCCTCCTTCTCAGCTATATGCACACACAGGCAATCTCCCTCTTCTTAACAGCATGCTGCCTGTCCTAATATAATCACCTAACACTTTCCTCAAAACATGGCCAGCAAAAGGTACCGTACTAATGGTTCATGAATCAATGTCCAAGTTACAGTCAGCTTCTGGGGTTACACTGATTCTCAGAGTAGTCACTCACTCAGCCAGAAGGACTTTGATAAATAAAGATAAAAGAATGCAGAGGTTTCTTCTCCCCTTGGTCAAAAAGTTTGACCATAAGACTTCTAAGATGACCCCACAGCACCAGAGTACAAACTAAGAAGGACGTAGGTTCTTCTCCCCTGTCTGCTTGCTGTGCAGATGGAGACTGCACATTGCAGAAATCCCGTCTTAAACTACAGTTCTGACAAATGCCACTTAAGTGTCTGTGGAGCTGAGGAAGGCATGACTCTGTTCTCTTCTCCGAATCTAGACTTCTGTATGTCATCTCTGTCCAATGCTGCACTCCTGACTCCCCATGCCACCATCTCTGGAGCCATGCATCCGATGCTGTTTTAGATTCACAGGTGTAGCAAAGTGCCAAGTGTCTCAAATGTGCCATCTTCCCTCTATCTAGATACATCTTCTTTAAGTAGATGCACACACACACATGCACATATACACGCACATACACACGCGCATGTACATGCACACACACGCATACACACATGCGCACATGCGCGCGCACACACACACACACACACACACACAGCCAAAGTAATAGATTTTAAGCATTTAAGTAGTTAATATACTTAAAACATAAAAGTTATTCTAAATGGTAAACACAAATTAAAGTTTGGAAATATAAATGGTATCATTTGTTTGATTTTTCCTTAAAGAACAATCATAACACTCAATAGAACTTTGTGAAATTTATTCCAATATAAAAATTACTGGAAGATGATTTTAACTCATTCCTTAAGAAACAATTATACATTATACTATTTTTTCATTATTACACAAATAATTGATACTAGACATTTAGGTTATAAAAGGCCAACTTATTTTTAAATGCAAATATAAGTCAGCAATTGAAGTCACAAATCCGAATTTTAATATTTTAAAATATTTTCATATAACTTGCTACATATTTGTCAGCATTCTAATTGGGACCAGCCAAGCTATTAATGAGTGTCTAATCTGAGCCAATAATAAACAAATGAGCATGAAAAACATCAAAAACCAGTGTATGTTTGTGTCACACACAGGTATTTATCAAAATCACCACTAAACTGCATGCTTGATTTTTCCTTCCATTTAACACTGGATTCAGGGAACTGTAGTAATCAGGAACAAAGGTCAAAATGAAACACCCTGATCTTGCCAAAGTGTTCTCTTAACTATAAATTGAATATAAATATAGAGTATATAAATTTCTCTTATTCTATACAAAATCTCAGCAAATATTCTCCTAATAGGGTGAGAAATTTGATCTTTCATATTGAAAGCTGTTGCTCTTAAAAAAAATTTTTAAGATGAGCTACGAAGTATGTTCTCAAAATGATAACTGCATTATACTCTACTTCAGCCATTTCCATACAGAAACTTCATCAACAACCTCTTACCACAACAAGTAAACTTGTTAAATGAATATTGAAAAACTAAAACTGAGGCAAAGCAAATGCCAAAGAGAATGTAGGCTACTTAGTTAAATGCACTCCACAGGAATCCAGACAATTACAGGGTGTAAATCATATTCACGGAGTCCATGTTCAACGCTAAACAGTGAAGTTTCCCTGTTTCTTTCTACTAGTTAATAAAACAAGTAACCCTCTTTTGCCACTTATTTCACAGTAAGGCTGAAAGTAATGCAGGGTATATGCCACCATTGATCTCTATATACCTAGGTATCCACAAACGCTGATGGAAACAACACTGTTCCCAGGCCGAACTGTCTTCATTTTATACACACTCTTTACTCTAGACCAACAACTAATTGTATTTTGAAGAGATCTAAAACAATGTATTAGAAGCACATATTTAAAAAACAAATACAGTATCTGGATGGTGGTGGCGCACACCTTTGATCCCAGCACTCAGGAGGCAGAGGAAGGTGGATCTATGAGTTTGAGGCCAGCGTGGTCTACAGACTACACGGAGAAACCTGGCCTCAAAAAAACAAAAAACAAAATGAAACAAAAGACTGCTTTTCACAGAGTGGGTGGAAGTGTGCTGCATGATGCTGTTTAGCAGACCAACTCTTTCTGCACAAGTACCTGCCAGCATTCCTTCTTCAGAGTCAAAGCCCTCAAGCCTAAACTGGGGGAAAGTTTACCAAGTCTTGTCAGCTAAAGACAGGTGAAGGAGCATCACAGGGACACTGGGCTAAATTTTAACACTGTTCATCAACAGCTCCATCTTCCTGAGTTTGCGTTTGTTCTTTGGCATTGGCTTGGGATATAATCCGTTTTTCAGAAGATATTCCTTGCTGAGGCGAATCTGAGCACCGTGCTGAAGCTGGAAAGAACATAACGCTTGAAGAGGGCGAAGCAAAGTCTGTTAAGAAAAAAAAGATACTAAAAACGTATTTGTGGCAACTTGTATTCTATCTATATTTTTCTTTCAAATACAGACAATTACATGTTCTTTTTTATTATTGCTTTTGACTGTGAAAAGTAATCACTAATCTATACTTCATAATCATTTCTAAATTCACAGATTCTAATAAAAGGATTTATATTGATTTTCCATATAGGAAATAGAGTCTGACTTATGTTTTATACACTAATTTATTTAGATAGCATGAAATGTGTCATAATTTAATTAGTTAACAAGCTGATTAAAGGAAACATTTAGCTAGATAGGCACAGCACATTAGTTGAATTTCAATCACTTAAACAAACAATTCCATGATGACAACAAAGTCTTCCTCATATCAGTCCATGGAAGACACAGAGGTGACAGAGCCACACATGGCACACTTGAAATACTGTAATTTTATACCCTGCCTAAAGTAAATTTCTGCAGAGCCGAGCAAATAACACTAGTGTGTTAACTGGCTTTCCATGTAAGTTAATAGAGATGACTGCCACACAACTGGAACACATGCTGTATGTAAGGTGATTCAAGATCAAAAGCTAAAACAAAATTAAATAGTATTTGAAACACATTTTTGGGTCAGATTCTTTGTATGTAAGAATAGCAAAGGTTTTGGTTGAAAAGGCCATTAAAGAATAATTTTTAAAAAGGAAAAAACTGAGCCAGGCAATGGTGGCACATGCCTTTAATCCCAGCCCTTGGGAGGCAGAAAGAGGAGAATGTCTTAGTTCAAAGCCAGCCTGGTCTACACAGAGTGAGTGACAGGACAGCCAGCGATACACAGTGAAACCCTGCCTCAGGAAAAAATTGACAAAGGGTCTGTGTGAAAATTTATTCCCCCACATATACAAAATACAAGGTATATTTTATATATAAAAATATAAAGGGGCTTTACTTTACAATGAAGTATTAAACACTATGGCAGGCCCTGATAATTGCTTCTCCCTACCCATTATTTTTATTCTTATTAATAGAACCCAAGTTGTATTCATGAAAGCACTGTGCCCATCTACTAATAAAATAATGAGTAATGACAGGTAACTAAAAGTCACTTGGAATAAGCTTTTAGAGGCACTCAAAGCCAACAGGTTTAGGTAGCATAGGTTTTTTTTTGCTCCTCCGCTTTCCTGTCAAGAATATGATTATTAGAGTGGGACAACTATCATGATCAGTCGGCAATAAATGTGACAATAAAAGCCAAACACAGAGGACAATGGACAGACAGAAAAAATGTGGGCTTTTTGTGTTTGTTTATGTGTATGGGTGTTTTGCCTACATGTATGTCTGTGCACCAGAAGATGTCATCAGATCCCCTGGGATTGACGGTCCAGACAGTTATAAGCTGTCATGTGGGTGCTGAGAATTAAAGCTGGGTCTTCTAACAGAACATCCAGTGCTCTTAACTGCTGAGCCATCTCTCCAGCACCATAATCTGGGTTCTTGATGTCCTTTCCAAACTGCATTTATAACTCAGGACTGCCCACTTTTGCATGTTGTACTTACAGAAGTTTTTTAAAAATTGATTTAACCACTGCCTTTGTTTTTAAATGCTGTCACACACAATCCCTTATTGATATAGACCAATAAGAAAAAATAGACAAGTATTTTGGAAACCTCAATACAACATTATTGTTGAAAGTCCATTAGGTATGTTTTCACTATTGTAGAAAGCCCATCATGTATGTTTTCATTGTTTCTTTTAATAAGAAAGACAGGAAAGGAACTAGAAAAATGTATTAATCTTACTTAATAGTCAACTCAATGGACAGACTGGACGATAAAACACGATAGGTCTCTAGGAAACACAGATAGGACTATATACAGATAGAAGCAACTTAAAAGTCTCTTCATGTTCTGACATTTACTTTCACAGATAGAATAATGCTAATATTATGGTCAAACACCTCCAACTTTGACATCCCAAAGAAAAGGTTCTATCAAATTTACTTAAGTAATAGAAAGATCTAAACCAGATCCTCATTTAATCTCTGTTGTGGTCACTAATAATAAAGTAACTTTTGTCATGGTAAATGATCAGTTTACATTTTTTATTCCTTTTGAAGTTAGGCATGGTCACTGTCCTACTTAGTTTTAATTGTCAATTTGACACAGCCTAGAGTCATCTGAGAAGGGAGTATCAATTGGGGAATTCCCCATATCACATTACCCTGATGGGAGGTCTGTGGTAGACCGTATTGATGTTAATTGATAGAGGAGGGCCCAGCCCACTGCGGGTGACACCATTCTTTAGGCAGGTGGTACTGAGATGTATAAGAAAACTCGTTAAGCTTGAGCCTGTGTGTGAGCCAACATAGAAGCATTCTTCCATAGTTTCTGCTCCAAATTCCTACTTGAATTTCTGTCTCAACTTCCTTTAGTGATTGACTGCAATCTTTAAGTTAAAATAAACTCCTTCCTTGCTTTTGGTCAGAGTAATTTATCACAGCAACATAGATCAAGTAGACTTAGTTAATGAAATCTGAGGAGCTCAAGTACTGTGTGTTGTCTTTGGGTAGAATTATTATAAGTAATGCAGAATTTACCATTTTTCTTGCCTCTTCTTTATGAAAGTGGAATATTTTTGGATAGTTTTCCATAATCCTGGGTCCCTAAGCACCTGCATGAGCCTCTAGAAGCCCTCCTGGCACTCCCACTGAACAAGCAGCATGCAGAGAGGCCTTAAAGAATTGCCATTCTGTGCCATTTTAATTTACTGCAGCCTACTTGATGATGCTATCATATATTAGCTATGTGCTTCACGGTAAGTAAATAAAGTCTACCCAAAAAGTTATTATCATAACAAACAGTGAGGTGATATATTAGACCCCAACTATTACAGTGTTGAAACCACTACCTGACGTTCAATAAATGATAATGCTTCTAATATAAAGAAAAATATCAGATTTGAGTCAGAGTACATAAGAAAATCCTATTTATAAAACAAGTTTGTGTCTAAGTGTTTACTTGGGGAAAATGAGTGTTATGTGGATCCTTTTGTCTTCATGTGTGTGGTCACAGCTTGCTGGACAGAGCTAAAGTTCTTAAATTTACATGCAGCTAAAAGCTTTTTACACTTTGAAATTCTGTAAGGTAAAACTTCCCACATAAAGCAAGACCTTGAAGCAAAAATAAACCTGAAGGTGAAGGCTCCCTGGTAAATACTGCAGTAGACTAATAAAATCCATCAAGCTGTAGTTTAAAACTTTCATTGATCTACCAAAATTGGAGAGGCATAGAAAGTCAAAGGTGCATGTGTCAACAATGGCAGCAATGAATACACCTCACTTCATTTTACAATAGAAAGGCAACAGAGACTGAACACATTAGGCAAGTCCTCTCACTGAGCTACATCCCCAGCCTAGGTAACTTTTTATACAAGTTTAAAATGAAAAGCAAGTACAAAGAGAGATTATGCAACTGCCCCTGGCAAGCCAAGCTGACAACAGTGATGAAGTTGCGATTCAAACTGACTTCAAAGCCTGTACTTCTGTTCCAGGAGCCATACGCTCATAGCCTCTCACATCCTGCTACTTCCTGTGCTTCAAAGTTGCTCCAGCGTACAGGATGGGGATGAACCAAAAGACTGAAAAGCAATGTTACATTCAATTTGTTTATTCTGAGGAGCCTGATGTCTATAAGCCATACAATATTTAACTGTTTTCCAAGATCTCAAGGTTTTCTAGGAGAAATACACTATAGCTTTCTTCCCAAGGACGAACTAATATACCCATTGTCACAGAAGACAGTAACTGTGCTCCACAAAGTGTGCTATTTAATTTTTTTAACTAATTTTTAACAGATTGGCCTTAGGGTTCGCTTCCAATAAAACAGCTTATACTATTAACTGGAAGCAAATTTGTTTTCTATAATAAGTAACAAGATGTTTCATTACACAGGTCTCCCGTTCATGCTCCTACCAAGCATATTAGAATCACTGAAGTCACGGATATAATTGTCAGACACTGTTTCTCTACTGGCCACTGTGATTTGATTATTCCTGAAGGCCAAAGTAAGCAGAATAAGAGTTCTAGACCCTTAGTGTTACTATGAAAGTTTATGTTCGATCCATCCATAAGGAATAACAAAAGTTCAGGACATGTGGGCTCCCATCGTAACTCTATACTTTAGCGATTGCTTATTCTCAGATATTATACTTAGGACATAGTTATTCAAGTCTTGTGTGGTCATGATAAAGATTCCTCTTATTTTTAAGATATCATATCACTAACCATCACATATAATCTAGTAGGAATCAATGTCATCTTTGAATGTTTCTGGTTTCATCAAGAAGGAAAAGTGGTGAACAGATGGAAATAAAGTTACACAGATAGGAAAAAGTGATGGGTAGAGGAAGAAGAGAATTGTCTAGGGCACCCTGGTCATTCAAGGCACAGAACCAGGATTGCTGGGAAGTGTTCTTCTCAAAGACAACATGGGGAGTGGAACTGTTTAGCTGGAACAGTCCATTTCCAAAGGAAGTCTCATCATGAAACACAACTTCCATGAAAAGAAAAAAGCCTCCAACTCTCACTCTCATAAGCTCAGGGCCCTGGGAAGAGCAAAGCGCTCAATCCTGGCTCCCCGCACTCTGACCTTCTGCAAACTCTGGAGATATTTTTTGTTTGTTTGTTTGTTTGTTTTCTTCAGGATTCACGTCTTCACAACTTCCGGTTACTCTGGCTAGGTTTTAATCACTGCAGGCATTTCCTTCCTGGCTAAGGTATCGTCTCATCACAGTACTGATACTGTACAATGAGAGGGGGATGAGGCAGGAGAGAGAGCTGTCCATGTGTAGGCATGCACGGGAGTGCCTGTGTGGGGCCATGTGTATAGTTGGTGCCAATAGTTACCAACTATTTTTTAATTGTCATCCTCTGACACTGTTTTCTGAGGAAGAAGTAATGGTTCACTTATTTTTCATAACCCATCTTAAAATTATTTTTACTATACTTTTCTTTTGCTATAAATATGAAGTTTCTAACATGTGCCCAAAAGTTGAGATATTACTAAGCTCAATGAAATGTTATTCTCTGCTGATAATTGTTAGTTATATATATAATCACTAGAAATTTTATGAGAATTAAATATAATGTTGATTGTAGGTTAAATCCTTTTCATATTCTGTGGGCATTTCTATCCATATAAGTACCTATTTTACACTCTAAGCAAGTTTAATAAAGTAAACAGAATGTTAGCATACCTCCTCAAATAAAGGCACCAATGCAAACAAGTAATGTTGCTGGAGAATGTTCTTTTAATTAAAAAGAAAAAGGCTGATCACCAGAGAATACAAACTACTTAAAAAAGAAGTAGAGAACACTAAAGGAAAAATCGAGCCAAAAAACTCTATTGAGCGCTGTGCTACTCACACGCAATTTAGCAAATTAAAAATGCTGTTTGCACAGCTTAGTGGGAATATTTAAATAATGCAATCTGGAATGATAAACCAACACAGTAAAATACAGAGAGGAAGAAGATTATGAAAGTCCATAAATATCTACTGCAGATATACTCCATTTGTCACGTGACTTACACAATTTACAAGTGATGCATGTCTAAATTTTCTCAATAACATCCAACCCTACTTTTAAGAAACAATGACTTCCACATACCTCTTGTATATAGTTATTTTTCTCCAAGATGGAAAGAGCAGCAGCAGCACATTCTAGGGTGGAAAGGCACCTGCTAGTAGGTTGCATCCGAATTACATACTGACTACAAATGCTAGTTTTTAACTGCACCTGAAACCAAAAGCAAAGTAATAAAATGTAATTTTCATCTTAAATTTAAAACTATGAAACATACATTTTAAATCCCACTCACCTTCCACCTAAAATTGCAACTTTAGAAACATTAAGTATATCAATATCTTTGCACATATCCTTTAGTTGTTACTGTTGGGTAGCAGAAGCAAAAGTCTAGCTACCAAAAGATATCTGACAAAGAAAAGATACCCAGAATACATTCAGATTTCTCTATACCCCAAATGACACCAGTAACACCCTCCAGTGAGGACAAGAGTGAAGACACACTCCACAAAAGAAGACATAAGGATAGCAAACAGGTACTTGGTATAGCACTCAAATGACCCAATGAGTAGCTAAAATTAAAAAAAAATTAAAATAAAATTAGCATGAGGCTGGGGATACAGCTCAGTGGTAGGGCCTTTGCTGGGCATGCAGGAAGCCCTCAACTCAAGCCTGAGTATTGCCTTCCCTTTATCTTCCCCCAAAAAAACTAACACCATTATCCAAATATAGAGGCCCACAGACAGACAGTATACAGAGAGTGAGACCTCGGAACACTCAGTCCTCAACGAGATGTCTCCATTGAATCTATCCCCTAAGAGCTCAGGGAACCCTGTGGAAGTGGAGGCAGAAAGAGTGTAAGAGCCAGAGGGGATGGAGGACTCCAAGAAAACAAAGCCCTCTAAATCACAGGATCCAGGCACATATGAACTGTATTACAGACTGAGGCAGCACGCACAGGGCCTGCATGGGTCTGCATGTTAAGGTCCGAGGACTGAAAGAAGTAAACATACTCCCCCCCCCCAATGATAACCCAGAGGCTATCTCTAAGTGATAACTATTTGCAAATGAAAATTTAATTTTCTCCAAGGGAATCTCACTGGGGAAAAAAACTACTCTTAAATGCAGGCTGCATGCCCAGTAGAAGATGGCCAACAGAAAATGAACTCCATGGCATCTTTGGAAGTTACTTGTCTCATAATATTGTGTCAGGGTTTTTTTGTTTTGTTTTTTTTTAAATATTATTTTTGTTTTATTTTATTTATATTTTTCCCTCTTTTTACCCTTGAGGTCCCTTCCGTATGTATTATGGCCTCCATTTAAGTGTTTTTATGGGATTCCTGAGTGTGTGAATGAGCGGGTCTCTGTGTCTATATGTTTTCGTGTGCCTTTTCTCGGGCTCGTCTTCTGTTTGTTTTGTCCTATTTCAATGTGCTTGTTTCTGTTTTATCTTATTACATTTTATTATCCCTTAGAAGCCTGTTTGTTTCTAATAGGAGAGAAAGGGGAAAGAGCTGAATGGTAAAGAAAATGGGGGGGAAATGGGAGGAGTAGATGTAAGGAAAAAAATCTATTTTCAATAAAAGGAAAAAATAAGAGTTTCAATGTAAAATAAAGGACTTACTGTAAACTTAAAATGTGGGTACATATATACAACAAAATTTTATGCAGCTCTAAAAAAATGGAATCATGACATTTGCAGGAAAAACAGATGTAAATGAAAATCGTTATGTTAAGCAAAAAAAAAAAAAGGCTTAGAAAAACAAATACATCAATCATGCTTTCTCCCCTATGCAGAATATAGATTTAAACGTGTGTGTGTGTGTGTGTGTGTGTGTGTGTGTGTGTGTGTGTGTGTGTGTGTGTATGGGAGGATTACTGGAAAAACAGTAAAAAATAAATAAAAATAAACGTGTTACTTCTTTGACTAAATTAAAATCTCATACTAGCAAAACTCAGTGTGGAGAAAACATGTTAAATATGAATCTGTTTAGGCATTTAAACAGAGGAAAATTCTGTTCCTTGATACTTTTTAATTATATAGCATCATTTAGAAAATCATAAGAAAATGCAGGGGATTGAGTTTTTCATTTATATGATTCAGAGGATGTCACAGCATTTACATTAACTGTATGAAGAATATATTTGATGACTTCCATATATAAGTTTTAACCTCTCAGTTTGGGGGGGGGGGGAATTCCTGCATTGTGAACTTGCATGTAAATGTTCTATGTTTACATGTTCAAAATAAGTTTAATTCATTTGTGAGTGGTTATCATTTGGAGATAGCTTCTGGGTTAGTGATAGGACCTTAAGACTGCTTCTCTTGGTGCTGGAACCCTATCTGATGCAGACCCCTGCACATCCTGTGTACTCTGCCTCCTGCCCTGTGAGTTCATATATGCATCTGTCCTGTTATATTTAGACGTTTCCTTGGTGTCATCCCCTCTGGCTCTTATATTCTTTCCTCCTCCTTTTTCATGGGGTTCCCTGAGCCCTGAGGGGAGAGATTTGATAAAGACATCTGTTTAAGACTGAGTATACCAAGGTGTCTCACTCTATGCACATTGTCTGTCTCTGGATCTCTGTAATTGTTCCCATCTATTGCAGGAAGAAGCTTCTCTGGTGAGGACTGAACAAGGCACTGATCTATGAGTATAGCAGAATGTCATTAGGAGTCATTTCACTGCAATATTCCTTTAGCAGGACAGTGGTATTTGGTTTTCCTTTAGGTCCCTGACCTATCCGGTTTTAAGTTCTTGGCCCCCAAGCATTGTTGGGGATGGGTTCCATCTCATGGAGTAGACCTTAAATCCAATGAGATACTGGTTATGTTCATAAGCTTTATGTCACCATTGTAGCAATGTATCTTGCAGGCAGGTCATTCTTGTAGATGACAGGTTTTGTAGCTAGGTTGGTGTTTACCTTCTCCATTAGTAGTGTGCAGAGTACCTCTCAGTACGAGGAACACTATTCTGTAGGTGTGAAGGCTCTAGATAGGAACCAACTTGACTTCTCCATGTCCAATGAGTTGTGTAAGTTTTGTCTTCAGCAATAGGAAGACCCTATCATCAGTTTTTGGAGAGCTACCAATTGCCTTGGCAATAGCCTATGTTGTCTGGGGTCCCTTTGGCCAACAACTCCATTAGATATAACCCATTCCCGGTACTGGGAGCTTCGTTTGGTGATGAGAGCTGTCCAGTTTGCACTCTATCTCCCCTGCTATTCAGCCATTTCATTAAATCACCTTCATACGTGCATATATTTCAGGAAGCATCTGCTAAACTAGGTTTTCATACAACCTCCCTGATGGCCCTTAGTTTTAGCTGTCCCTCCTTATATTCCCTCCTTCACCCCCCTCTTAACTCTGCCTTCCTGTTTGATTTTCTGATTTCAGGCCCCCACTACATCTACCCATAACTAACTATTCTATTTTCTCTTTGTAGGGAGATCCAGCCCTCCCCACTAGTTCCTTACTCTATACCTAACCTCTGTGGTTCTATGGATTATAGCATGTGTTTTGAACACTTAACAGCTAACACCCACATATAAGTGAATACAAACCATATTTGTGTTTCTGAGTCTGAGTTACCTCACTCAGGATGAGTTTTTCTAGTCCATCCATTTGTCTGTGAATTTCATGATTTTATTTTTTAACAGCTGAATAATATTCCATTATGTAAATATACATTTTCTCTACCCATTCATCCACTGATGGACATCTAGGCTGTTTCCAATTTCTGGCTATTATGAATAGGACATAAATGAATATGGCTGAGCAAGTTAGGAATATCTTTTGGGTATATGCTCAAAAGTGGTATAGCTAGATCTTGAGGTAGATCAATTCCTAGCTTCTTGAGGAACCATCACACTGATAACCATAGTGGCTGTACACAATTGTACTCCCACCAGCATGTGCTGTCACTTTTTTACTACTTTTGGCCACTATGATGGGTGTAAGACAAAAATGTTAAAGTAGTTTTGATTTACATTTCCCTAATGACTAAGGATGTTGAACACTTCTTTAAGTGTTTCAGAGCCATTTATGTTTCGTCTTTTGAGAATTCTCTGTTTAGATCTGCACCCCATTTTTTAATTGGGTTGTTTGTTTTCTTGATGTCCAGTTTTTTGAGTTCTTTATATATTTTGAGTATTAGCCCTCTGTTAGATGTGTAGTTGGTAAAAATCTTTTCCCATTATGTAGCCTGCTGCTTTGTCTGAATCGTCAATGGTGTCCTTGGCTGTACAGAAGCTTCTCAGTTTCATGATGTCACATTTATTAGTTGTTGTTCTTAGTGTTTGTGCCATCAATGCTCTGTTCAGAAAGTCTGTTTCTTATATTATTAAAGAACTAAAAGCTACATTTAAATCTCTTCTACCAATATAAGCACTTTTATTTTGTTTTCTGAACAATCCATCTAAAAGTTCAGGTCAACTGCTTATATAATATAATAACATAAAACACAGGAAAAGGGTATACTATAATGAACTTAGAGTTCTGTTGAATGTAAACATGTATGTAAAATAGCAAGCAATCAAGTATTCAGTAGTACTAATACATATGACTCTAATCCAAGAGGAACTGGAAATCTAGAAATATCAGAAGATACAAGGACATAACAGCAGCTACTTGAGGAAGAATTCTAACAAGTAGGAAACAGATCAAGTCTTAAGTGCATTTTTAAACACGTATTTCATTAACCAACTTATACCTAAGATGACTGAAAAATTATTAGGGATCATTGTTTACTTGATTTTGTTTTCTGCTCTCTGGGCTGAAAAACAATTTAAACTAGTATCTGTAAGCTTAAACACACCTCAAATCCAAAATCCAAAAGTAGTATTCAAAATTTACTAGAAAATATATTTTTAATCTAGCCCTTTTATCCAACTAAGATTATCAAAATAGATAATGGTGTAACTAAACAAATTCCCTTTAAAATCAAACTGCAAGCCGGATGGTGGTGGCGAACGCCTTTAATCCCAGCACTCAGGAGGCAGAGACAGGTGGATCTCTGTGAATTTGAGGCCAGCCTGGTCTACAGATTGAATTCCAGGATAGGCTCCAAAAGCTACACAAAGAAACCCTATCTTGAAAAAATAAATAAATAAATAAATCAAACTACAATTTAAAAAGACCACAGAAAATAACTGGTGGCAAAGCAGAAGCATATACTCTTCTAAAAAACAAAGACAAAGATTTTTTGCATACT